AGAGGTGGCAGGAACTCAGAGCCAGCAGGCTCATTCAAATCAACTCTAGCTTGTCCTAAAGAGAAAGTCTGCAGTGGCACACAAATTAACAAGAACAGAAAAAGCTTAGAGTCGAGAAAAAGTTCTGATTTTTCTTGAAGAGACTGGCGAATTAGTTTTAGGTCTTGTATCTTTCTTAAATGGGGATTGTATCTATTCCTTACACAATTAATTTTATTATTATTACCTTATCTTGTCATTTAATTTCAGTAGAACATTACAAAGCCAGAACGAGATACTTTTCCAAAGGCAACCCTAGCTTCAAGCCCAGTTACATTTTATTATTCCACAGAAAACTGTAATCCTTCTCTACCAAAGGCCTGCTGTTGTGACGCCCCCAGTGCTCCAGCACAGGCAGGCCCAGGGCTCTTCACTGAGCAGGTGAGAACAGCTCCGTGGCACAGGAGAGCTGCACCTCCTGCCTCCCAGACTGGGAACCCAACCCCGGGAATTCAGTCGGGCCTTTCCGAGAGCAGGGCTGTGCCTGTGGGCTGCAGGACAAACAGCATTTGCTCCTCTTTTCTCTGAGAGAAAGCTGCTATACAGAAGCACAAGGGAGGAAGCAGCTCTGGCAGCCTGAACACACCTGAGCCCATGGCTGCACACCTGTCCCCTCAGACAGCAGGGGCCACACTGCAGATAATACATGATAATATATGATAATACATGATAATATACAGATACCAGCCCCTGATAACCCACAGAGCCTCTCTTTGCTGGACACCCCTGCACAGCCACACACAGCGTGGCACTGTAAAACCTGATATAACCCACGCACAGAACCTCCCCTCACTGCACACCCCCCTATAGCCACACAGAGCAAGGTTTATTCAGTGTAAAACCCACAGAGACGCCCACGCCACCTGTGCCACACGAGGATCCTCCCTCAGGGAGGAGCTCAGGGCCGCCACTGCCCAACACCAAGGCCACTGCGAGAGCCTTGCCTTGGCACCGCTGTCCCAGAGCAGGCCCTGCTCCTCTCCTGCCACACCGACTTCCTTCGTGGTGCCCAAGGGCTCAGGGCCAGGCAGAGAGGCCTCAGCTCTTCCCGCTGTGTTTGGCAGGGCCTGGCACAGCCGCTCTGCCCTGCCCTGGGGCCGGGTGCTGTCCATGGCCGCTGGGCCTCGCTGGGTGCTGGGGCTCGGAGGAGCCGGGGCTGGCCAGGGCTCCTCCCCTGCGGGCACCCTGAGCACCAGGCAACAGCTGCTCTGGCCTGGCAGCCCCCGGGGGCCAAGAGCTGCATTTCCTGGCATTAATTAATGCCTGTGCCTGGTTTTCAGGTAGATTAGATAGGTAGCTGTAGTGCATCACAATCCCTAGGGCAAATCCAGAGAGGACTGCCTTGGTTTTATGTATAGGTAAAATGCTTCTGGGAATTGCTTTGCTGTGCCTCTGCCAGTTCCTTGCATCCCTTCTCTGCCAAGAGGCCCCATAACCCCTGTGGGTGTCACACACAGGCCCTGAGGCACCCCAGGCCTGCTCAGGCCAGGTGAGAGGAAACAGTGCCTGGAAATTTTCTGTAATACACTCATAGTGAGTCAAGGTGGGGCTTTACTACTCTTAAAAGTGTTCTTCAGGCTCTGAAATAACTAATGTTTTAATATCTCAATTCACATTTTCACATTATTACTTAGCAAAGTGACGTATTTTCCTGGGTATTTTATGTATTTTTATTCATTACCATGTATATTTTGCTTCCCACTCTGCTTTTATTCTTCATACACTTGTAGTTTCATTCTTTGTTTACATATTTTTACCAATCCTGCAAGGTGTTGTTTAGGGCCAGAATAGGGCCAAGTCAGGCTGAAGTGAAGCAGATAAAATTCCATGTTTTGCAGCTATTCTGTGCTGAGGAACCTGCATGTTTGAAGTTTTGTTTTTACATATTTCTTCAGTCAAAGTTTGAAAAGTCAAAACCTGGGCAAGCTTGGACAAGGATCTTTTAAAGTGAAATATGTGGGACCTACCTGGTAAAAAGTTTGCATTTGGGACTGGGTTGCAATGTGTCTGGAGGCTGCTGAAGCCCTGTCAGTGCAGCTAACTCAGCCACCAGGTGCTGTATGAATGTGACATTGGGCATCCCTGTGGCACCCACCCTTCCTGCAGGGCAGTGACCTGCTGTGGCTGCGTGGTGCAGGACAGCCTGGAAAAGCTGGGCACTGGATAGAAAAGATGCATTTTCTGACACACAACAGCAGCCTTGTGCTTTATTTGTTTATTATGCTTTGACCCCAGCTGGCAACTCAGCCCCTCACAGCCACTCACTCTCCCCGTTGAGGGATGAGGCACAGCATCACACGGCTGAAAGGCAGAAAA